TTCTTTGCTCATGTAATTGAACATTCATCCTCTCTTCCACTTAGGACAGTAGTGTTACAGGGTTTTTATAACAGATAAGAGCTGCTAAATAGTAACAAAGGCTAGGACCATCCTTGCAAACACTGGTTATTTATCTTCATTGTCTGTTTGCTGCTACAAGACATTGTGTTTCAGAGGACAGCTTACCAGCTGCACATTCTGTGAGCTGTGAAGGAACTAATGAACTTAGCCTCTTCTTTTCTTTTCTTTTTCTTCACAAAGAGGAAAAATACTAAATTGTTGCAGTTTTGCTTACGCTGCCCATCAGCAAAACCAACTTCCACCATTTGGAGAAATCAAAATGCATCTGGTGCAGTACATGACACAAGGCCACAGAGTTAATTTAGTTAACTGGATCAGGTATTCCTGGAGTCTTAGGCATACAACTGTCTAAGCACAATGAGGAGGCAGTGAGAACCAGCAGAGTGAAAATAAAGGGTGCACCATCTTCTGCAGTATTAACAAATTCTCAGAATATGGAAAATTTAATACATTTCACATTGTAATCTTTGCAAGGAGATATATAAATTTTAATAGGATCTCATTCTTGAGTTACTTTATTGTTCTGTTCAATTAAATAGTATTTAATGATTAACCACTTACAAGGATATTATATTTTATTCATACTCAACTGACTCCAGTCAAACTGCTCTGCTTTTTCCAGAAAAGATAATTAGTTCTAAGGAAAAATATTTATTTCCTGTGTAAGGCCTAAGTATCAGCAAGGTAAAAGTAGCAACTAAATATAGCAACTTTATTTAAATATAATAAATACAGCAAGTATTATTTTTGCAGTTCACACATGGGGAGATTCAGGTTATCACATCATAATTGTTTACACCACTGATACAGGTTTAACTGCTAAGCAGCCTAAGGATGAGGACTGTCTCATGTAATGACTATTTCCACCAAAACTGTAGCAACCTGCCTGTTGCACTTTCTTAAGGCATTTTATTTTCAACTGTGTTCACTGTAAATTACTGCTACAGAACAAAAGATAAAGATCCTGGATCATCAGATGAAGTGGTGTAGGTCTATTGCTGAAATAGTCTTGTTTGTTCACGTGGTGTAGCAGGTTATTCCAATACCAACTCACCTTCACATTTCATCCCTTAAAATCTTTACTCATTCTTAGCGTAAGAAATAAGTAAAACTGGTGACTCCTTGTCTTGGGCACTGACTCTTTGCCCAGAATGCTTATGTCCAAAGATCACCCTCAGGCCTTTGCATCTCCTTGAATATGGCAGTTAAAACAACAATTTCACTGCATCAAGATGTCAGTATCCACAACTCAGCTTTTAAATACTACCTGTTGCACCAAAGTAACCTGGTCACCCATGCTGGGTATCACAAGCTATTCAGCTTCATCATCACATTTTGCACCAGACAAAAATAAACTATTCAGCTCCGAAGTGCAGTTAACCACTTGGGTCAAAAAACTCATATCACCACGCTATCTAATGCTAACAGTACATCACTTAAGTCTTCTCACTGAATAAAAGCTGCTTCTTTCAACCTCTCCTTTTTTACAAACTTGCTGCCTCACATGAGCATTACCAACACCCAGTCTGTTTTCAATTGACATGAAACTGTGAATACAAGTAGATTTCTAGTTTGTAGGAACAATGCGATAGCATTTACTTACCTTTGTGTTGGAAATTTAAATCAAATTGCATGTATTATCATTGGTGAGACAGTGGGAACCATGCAGACGTGTTCACCAATCCACAACAGGGGTACTGTGCTCCTGCGCGAGCAGTGCATTATTCTCCCACGCACTGCTGTGCTCTCTTGCAAGGAACCAGGGAGCAAAGGCAAGGAGGCAGCAAAGTCTGCACCCTCTTGTAAGGAAGACATACATTTGCGTGTTACACCCTACTGAAAGATATTCCACAGATTGCTAAGGAATCTAAATGCAGAAAGCTTGACAAAAATTATTGTAACTAAGAATCTAAGGCACAGAGAGATTAAAATATCTTGCCCAAAGCCTCTTCCAGAAGATCACACCAGAGGGAAATTGAATCTAGCTCTCACGAGTATCAAACACAAGACTTCGTTCTTTTTTTCTGTTTCCCTGAGGTACTAGAAGTGTAAACCGTTTCCTTATCACAGAAATTTCACAAGGCTGGGCCACTCTGATCACAACACTTAAAATTTTTAAGGACATACTATCCCTTGAACAAATACTTGACTTTCATTTAATTTAAGAAAAGCTGCACCTGCATATATCTGAACCATACATTGTTATATTTGAAACATTTTAAAACAGATATGCCACCGTATTATCCCTGCATTTAGCTCTACTACACATACAAAGAAACAGATACTGCAAAACAAAACCAGCAACAATATTAAAGTATCAGGTATTCATGTCTGAGAAGGCACAATATTAAGTGTTGTATGGAACATAACCTGACATTATCTAAAATGGGAAGAGAGTGTGAGAACATGACAGTGGTTAATACAACAGTCAGTGTAGTAGATAAACTGAATGCATAACTGTTGTTCAACGAGTCCTGCATGTGACAGCTAAGGATCTGGCAAGAAGTGGATTTCAACAGGTAATAAAAAAGCAATGTACACAGCCTTTAACTTCTGAGCTCTGGAACTGGCTGCCACAGGAGATTGTTGAGGAAGACAGTGTATCAAGTGGTTCACAAAAGCATACAAAATTCAGAGAGGATAGATCCCCAACAGGATCCCATCTACTTCCCTTGGCAAATGTACATTAAACTACATATGTAGTTAGTGTGCATCTCAACTGTCCCCTGGAGCACCTGTATAGACAGATGTTCCCACATACATGACATTTTAGCTCTACCTACTGTGGAAGGAGTTCAACCTTCCTTGGGAATCCAGGCTTATATAGTTTTCAGGCAATACTTCTGGAAAATTATGATGGGAATGGAATTCTTAAGGCAACTAAACCCACAAATGCAATGAAAACATTGCAAAGAGAGTTCCCTGGATCACATACAAACAAGACTAAGCTCCGCAGCATCTATATGCTGCTATTTTCCATAACTGGAAAATGCTCTTCCCACTAATTGCAATTATTTTCTATAGCACGGAAGTAAGCTCATGAGACAGGCTTTGTATGAGTGGCCCTAATTTGATAAGCATATTGTCACCTGATCTCTCTGTATACAGGGCAGGGATGGGCTCTTTGCTATGAGTGCAGTAATAATTCTGTATGTGCTTACACTTCCAAAGTAATTATTCTAAAAGACTGGAGGAGGTTTTAAGAAGCAGAAACATTTCACTTTTGCATATGATTCTGGAACTTGCTTTTTTCTAGCACACAGAAAACCATCTCAATCCTCATTTTAGACTGCTGTCTTAATATTTACAGGCTTGAGACACAAGATTTCATTAGTTTCTCTACCATTAAGGTCTGTTTCAATATTAAATAAGACAATCACAAAGCTACTCATATAAGAAGACAACCCTGAGGCAAGACTTCAGGGACTGGCTTTATTTCAAGCTTTAAAGAGATGTCAAAAAAAAAAAAAATCAACAAGAAAACTAAAATACTCATAATAAAGTTAAAATAATTTAGCTTTGCCTCCTGGGTAACACTTTCCCACTTCCTATGGAAAGACTCACTCTAAGTACCCTACATATATTCCTTGTTTCTTTTATGTATATGCTTGTCCTTCAATTTGTATGCTTCAAGACTTCTGCATACAATTTAAGTTAAGCAGTAAAACTGGGATATATGCAGAGCCTTTATAGTAACCATTTTCCAGTTGTGCTTGTCTATTTAAGTCTGTGAAAACACTTGCATCAATTCCACCAGTACTTTTGAAGTTTTATATAAAGTGAAGTGAAACACTAAACTTTTGGAGATCGTGGAACAGTTCTCTAGAGAGAACTGCTCTCTAGGGATAACTGTACTATATGTATGCCACACAAGTCCAAAAACAGTAGGAAAAAAATTCCTCAACCTACTGGCTATCCTCCTGTTGATGCAGCCTGCCACACAGCTAATACACATCACCATATTGGTTTCATGACAACTTATATTCAACAAAATCTCTGTATTACCAGTTACAATGACTAGGCTACCATATTTTTAATTTTGAAATCTAAAAATATAAGTAAAACTGAACAGAGGGAAAGGACATGTTAAAAACATTTTTTTTTCATTACTCTGACATAAATTTGAATTGGATTTTTCAGCCATATTTAATGACTTATGCAAACTGTTTTTACAGAAAGGATGCACCAGTCCACTAACTGCTAACAACACACCTTGGCTTCATAGAGGAAATTACCTGTGTTCTCCGCAAATCACCAGCTGAGAGGTGAAGCAGTGCCATTTAAGCCTATCATTTCATCAGGCTATGAACTCATTATAGGGCAGCATCTGAGTCAATACAACATCATTTTTTCCTTTCCAAAATTACAAGAAGCAACTATTCACTCCCGTGTTAGCTTTCTCCTAATCTGAAGTTAACTTATTTCACAGAATCACAGATATTTGTCCTTTTTCTTAAAAATGTCCCACTGGTTTGTCTGTTAAAAGCCAATGAAATGTTTCTTATTAAACAGTTACATTTAACATTGTAATAAACATGAAATTCTGAAGGAAAAAAATAATCTAATTTAAAATTTAATTTCCTTTATATGCAAATAGACATTAAATCTTTCAAAAAATCTCATATAAAATATTATTCCTCAAATCTCATTATATAGCAATATAATATTTATATTATGTTTCATTAAACAACAATAAAATACCAAAACAACATTATGTAGCTTTTAAGGCACCTGGCAGTGAACAAAAAAAAAAAAAAAAAACCAACCAAAACCCTTTATAGAACTTTAAATGTAATCAGTAAATATAATAGAAGCCAAATCCAAAATCCACTGATGTAGGTCATGGAAGTCTTCCCATTAACTTCCATGCACTTTGGGATAAATATGATCAAGTAAAAGGAGTAGAAATTAAAACTTACCCATGAATTCAATTCCTAAATGGTCTGCTATACCAAAGAAAGCATGTAAAAGAAAGAAGAAAAAAGAGACAAAAATGTTAGAAATAGACTAAACTGCAGATTTCACCTTTATCATCACTGGTAGCATTCAATATTTGTATGGCAGAGCTGCAGAATACAATGTGGGGTCAGGGCCCCACTGTGTGGGTACTGATCAAAAAGAAAAGCAGAACTCTTCTCTTCGAAGGGCAATCCTAAGACTTGAATACAGGACACTCAGCTGTCACAGAGAGAAGTGTATTTGCAAAGGACATGAACGCCTTTACTTGCTGTATTTATATTTGACTTGAGTGTCTCAAGCCAGCTATCTATAGGAATTTCATTTTCTTTTTCTCCTGAAACTCCCCTCTCAACATGCTAACTACTGTCATTACTTAGGTTCTTGCTTTCATTTTCCGTGACAGGGATCAAAACCTAAAGAGATGAATGGAAGGCTTTGCAGAGTGTTGCAGCTCTCACTACAGCACACTTGCACCCAATGTGATTGCAAAACTGCTATCTCTTGTGTAACAGAAATTCTGACTTCAGGAAAGAGCAGCCATGTTCTCTACTTAGCCATCTGACTGACATGATGCAGTCATCTCAACACATTTAGAACTGAAGCAAAAATGTTAACATTTTTAGAATATTGACTGAATTTACCTCATGTGAGATCAAAATATTCAGGACCCTTTTTCACATGACAAATTAGGGTATATATCTCTAACAGATGTTTTAGTTCAAAGTAGGTTTAAATTTATATAAAACTTATTAATTTTAAAGTTTATAGAAAGAACTTTTAAGTTGACAGGCAGTTACAGAATAACAAACTTTCCATCCTGCAGGGACAGAGCAACAGAAAAAACGCTAACTGACTTTTCAGAACTGAGTGTGTAAGGAATAGTAGCTTCAAGTCCAAAATGAAACTGTGGAAGGCTGTTCAGAAAGGCTGCAAAATGCAGTTCTGTTTCACACGAGACATTAAATAATTTGTTTTTCCAGGGGAGGTAATAATCTGCATTATAAAGAGCAAAGAAGATTTTTTCCCCTTTAAAATATAATAAAAGCAAAATACTTCCATTGTGTCTATCTTTCTTTTAAGTTATAGTTACATTTTCTTAATACAGAACAGATTAATACATGACTTTTCCAAAGTTTCCAACAGCAGTGTATGCAGAGGAATGCAGTAGGCAAAGAGCAGGAGTGTTACAAGAAAGACAGAATAAGACTGATGTGTTGGGTCGTACAAGGATCTAGGAGATACTACTGGGAGCTGTGTGAAACACTCAGTCCCATTAACTAATGTACTGCAACTTTCAAAAGCCCACTTAAGAGTGATACAGAAAAGTTAAAGGAAGATTTTCCAACATAAAAGAATAATTTTAAACTCATTATCTAATGAATTGTCAGCTCTGGTACCTGTGATGAGAATGTGAAATATTTGGGTTTTCTGTTGAAATTGCCGGAAGGGATTTGTCTTTTGAAACCTTTGAATTCTTCCAGTAGAGGGCACTGAACATCAGCTTGCCCAGTTCACTCAGAATACAGAACTATATAATAGTTGCTAAACTCGACATTTATTTTCATTCAGAAGACCCGATATGCATTTCAAAAGAAAAGAACATAAGATGATGATATGTGGTATAAATATCTTAGCAGCGTGATGTTAGGAAAGACATGTTATGCAAGTCTAGTGACACCCAAATGAATCTTTCTTTTTGGTATTAAATACATGAGTCAGAATCATACATAGATGTATTCCACATTACAGTCTTCTAATTCATCTTCTTGAATTCATGTATAAGCATCACATACAAACATTCCTGGTACATTTGACACAGGGATGCAATTTTTCTAAGAACATGAGATCAGAAATACCAAAATTGCATTCAACATACTATATGCAGCGATTTGTAATTTGTTTTTTATTCTTTAATTTTCTCTACCTGTGAAATCTGCAGATACTATCTGCGTGAAATTCACATCTTGCATCCTTCTATAGACTGGAATAAGAGGCAGTCAACAACTGCTTACTGAAATACCATAATCTGCTCTCCAAGGAGCTAAGGATATTCACACATTAATCGAGATCATTCAATATCATCTTTTTAAGTCAATCTAGAACAGCTGAAAAAACAATCCTTTCCTAACTGGGCTAGCCAGTTTTCCATTTGCAGTCTGCAATCTCCTCACTGAGTTCACCAACATGGTTAAAAGCCACCTTCTCAAAAAGTGCATAGCAAATACACCTTTCTTTTAAAAAGATGGAAAAAAAGCAACTTTAGCAACCACCATAGTATATACTGCTGGTAAAGCTGATTTACCCAGATTATGATGAAAGGACACCTACTCAGATAAACCTGTACACTGAAATATCTAAGCTGCCAATTCATATCATTAACCATAGCTCAACAAGCTCTCACAGCTATGCGGGAATAGAAAATAATAAAGTTACGATTCTTGCTGATTCAGCACATGCTGGCACTGGCGCAGCCCTTGTACAACGGCAACAGTGTCTAAGCCTGGGAGCTGGCCTCTGTGCTCACCTTTCTGTTTGGGAATGGATGCTGCACCAAAGCCAGCAGCAGCAGAAGAGCCGTGGCTGGGAGGTGGCAAAGGCAGCTTGGCTGGAAGCCTGCTGGATGTACAATGGGAAATACCACAGGCGACAGCAGTGCCTCTGGGACTGTACATTGCCAACAAGCCTTCCACGCCATCAGGTATCATGCAAGTGCTACTCAAATGCAATAAACCATGGCTGGTGGTTTGTCTTTTCCTTCCCTCTCCTCTTTTTAAAACTGCAAAAAGTCTATAATGCAACCATTCTCCATGTTCTTCCCCTCACTCCCTGGTTTGAGGGTCAGCCTCTGTGTTTAAAAGAGAAAAGGCATTCTGATCCCAGGAACAACAACACTACTTGAGCTGCTTTGAGACTTCAGAAGCAAAAAGGAAAAAGAAAATCATATTAAGAGCCTGAATGTACTCACATTGCTCTCTTCCTTTCCCCCTCACTGCAGAAATTCAGTTGCATTCACAACTTATCAAAACCCTAACTTTGAAACTTGTTTTCCTTAATAAAAATATGGCTCCTGCATCAATGGTGTTTACCAAATACTCAGCATGTTGAATGGGGGACACTAGGCAGGGAAAGGTCATAGAAGAAACGTCACCAGTCATTAATCATACCCATTCTTTGGCTTTCAATATTTTTATCATTTTAAGATGTCTACTCCACTAGCTACAGGAAAAAGACAAACCAACCAAAACAACAAAACCCCACAAAACATGAACAAACCCAAACCCCATATATCTTTGCAGCTGAAAAAAAATAGAAAAAGGAGAGAAGACAACTGCTTCCAACCCCAAACCCTTACCTGAGCTGGCCCTGGACAGACTGCCTCCATGACCCACATACACGTTTTCAGAAGGCAGAAAGTGAATGCTGGCTGTCTTGGAGTACAGGCTTTACACTGCAGTTTGCCATTTCCAGCAGGAGTGTCTGGATTCCCATACAGGTAAAGGGGTCAGAAAATCCCCTGCTGGAAACAGTGGCAAGACGAGTCCCCAGGGCTCTTAGGGCTGCTCTTCCCACCCTGTGCCCATCACATGCTGGCAGCAAGGAAATGTGGGATGGGGAGAAACACGTGGAATAGGTTCTGATCATCATTGAGTTGCCTTCTGGTGACCAAACATCAACCCAGTGGTTACTCCCACTCTCGGTGCTGTGGCAAAAATAAATGTATTTTGAAGATGGGTTTTGCCCCCTCTTAACAACAGCAAGAAACTCCTGGCAGGCCCATGTGAAAGACAAGCATGGCAGTGCGAGCTGCACAGTAGAGGCAAAGGGGGGAAAGCAAGCTGTGGTAGTGACCTAAGACTGAATTAAACACTAAAATATAAGATATTAACCCATGCCATGCCACAGCGTAACAAAGAACTGCTGTGCTGCTATATAGTAGTAATACATAAATGATAAATTGCCTGCAGAGCACTTCCTTGGACACACCAAGTGCAATGCGAAGTAATTCACCATCAAGCAATGCAGTTTCTTTAAGGTCTCAGTTCAACAAGAATGCACATGAAAGCTGTTAATATGCTGAAGAGTGGGTGCTGCTCCACAAGATGGGTTCATTAGCCAAATAAAGTGACTGTAATTTACTTTTGTCATTGCAAATTCTTTCTTTCTGGTATTGTTATTTTCTTAGGAGCTTAGATATATTTTATTTTACGAATATTTCTGTATTTTGTTGTTGATGTGGGGAAAATACTGTGCCTTATGGTCCTTGCACTGTGTGAATTTGTTGCTAGTATCAAAGCCATTTTAATTTATACTTTATGAAAACATACACACCTGGGAATACTTGACAACAAGCACAAGAGAAGATAAATTTGCACTCAAAGAAAATGAAGCCTCGTGTCTGGATTGTGTTTTGTTAAGACTTTTTTTTTTTTACTCATAGAATCGTAGAATGGTTTGGATTGGAAAGGACCTTAAGATCACCTAGTTCCAACCCTCCTGCCATGAAGGAGTCTACAAGGAGACCGGAGAGGGACTCTTCACCAGGGATTGTAGTGATAGGACAAGGGGGAATGAGTTTAAACTAAAACAGGGGAAGTTTAGGTTAGATATAAGGAGGAAGTTCTTCATTGTGAGGGTGGTGAAGTGGTGGAACAGGTTGCCCAAAGAAGTGGTAAATGCTCCATCCCTGGCAGTGTCCAAGGCCAAGTTGGACAGAGTTTTGGCAACATGGTCTAGTTTTAACATGGAGATTTGTTTCCTCAGTTAAAGATAGGTTTCATTATCCCAGGTACATTCTAAGCTATACTATGAATAGAAATATAAACTCAACATTTTAATTTCACAAATCTATAGAACAAAAACCTTGGACATAAAAATACTCATTGTAGACTACTACAGACACTTCCATCTGTTCTAAGGATAGTCTGACTTTGTTATAAAGGAGACAGCTTTAGGAAATCAATGCAATAGTAAAATATTTTCTTCTGCA